TCAACATTGAATGACGATCCTTCACGGCGACAAGCGTAGTGGCCGGAGGAAATTCATTTTCCCTACTTCGCCCTGCCAGGCATTTGCTTGCATTGGACGTTGTTCGGTTCTCACGACTTTGATCTTAACCATAAGCCAAATAGTAATTACTGTGTATCATGTTCAGCTGCAGCAGGGTATCTTCCAGTTTTGGACGGTAGCAGTGATTGCAGGGCAAATTGATCGACATCGACCGTGCCAAATGGCAAGAGGTTTTGTTACAAAACTTACAAAGATGCAGCAACATCGCGGAATTCGAGAGTTCACCAGGCTGATATTGACTAATTGCCTGATTTAATCGGCCATAAGGGATGGATTAGAAAGTTGGATCTTCGCGGAAACAGAAAACGAACCAAAGGCAAGTGTCAGTTGAGACATCAGCCTTTCGTCCGATTTCGTTATTGAGTACCATTCGTAGCAGTCTGTCACGGATATCGCTAATCTCCGTTTTCTGCCATCATTCAGGAGGACGCTATTGTTTTTAATCTTGTGATCACTGTTGTGTGTAAGCTCCTATTTTCCTCCGAGGAAGTTGTACTCATTAATCAACCTTAAAAGAGAGAAAAGCGAATGATCAGACCGGGGTTCGGACTTCGAAATGAATCCATCACTGACTGACTGAATAATGCTTGCCTATGACACAAATAACCACTGCAACTTAGAGCGTCAACCAGTTGAAGCGAATAATGAATCGGTCGTCATACATTCTCTCAGCAGCTTTCCAGACAATACAAGAATGAAAATTTACGTTTAGGCTACTTGGCTAAAATTAATGGTGACTTCCATAAAAATACTACTGCACAATCAATAGTCACTATTCAACCTATCGAGGTAAAACGAAAGACGTCATTATTCCAGTGGATACAAAATTTAACAGACTGCAGTAGAAGATCAATTAGAACGAAGTATTAAATCATCCCATCAGATCAGATACTCAGATAATCCTAATTTATGAAGGAAATTTTTCGTCTTAATTCGAATTATTTTTACTTGTACATCATAAATGCGAATTTGAAACAATAACAGTTGGTTTGCACAAGTTCAGCTGTATAGAATATTTCATACAAATCACCGTGGGGGTCTGTGACATTTGTCGATCGCTATTTGGCCGCCGATTGATATTCGTTAATGCGTAACCCTATGACCCCGAATTCTAATCTATATGATTTGGCGGTGGTTACCTGCATCACTGGTTTCATCTAGCCCTCCATATATTGCATAATCATTATAACCTCTCCGTAAGCACAATGCGTAACTACTGAATTTGTACGATTTCCGTTTTATGCGATGAATTTATTATTATGACAGAAAACTCAGAAGTCAGTGCACAATCGTATGATCGGAAATTTAATTACATACATAGATGACAGATGTTCGTTTCTGACTTTCTCATCTTTTGTATATCAGAAGAAAGCCATCACTGAACTCAAAATTAGTGAATTTCACTATTCAAAGATTTTTTAAGATGGCGCAATTATTGGAGTTCATTAATTCCGAAGGAAGTAGGAAGGAAA